CTGAATTATTTGACATTTAAATATGACATCCCTAGGACTTTAAGAAGTAGATAACTTCTTTCTTCCAATTGTGACATTTGTTATTTGTCCCTCTTTGGACTCATCTGTATAAAAGACACTTGTCCACAGCCTTAAACACTCCGACTTATTGGTCAGGATGGGGAGCTAAGCTTATCCTGCCATACATAAAGCCGGAGGACCAAAAAGGCACTTTGCAGGTAGCGTTCTGTTGGTTTGATCTGAAAGTCCTGTTAAGGTCAAGAACTTTCATCTAAACACTTTAGCCTTAAGAAGCTAACACGAGTCTCTTAAAATGGTGATATGGACAGGGCTTTCAAAATTCCCACCCAAAGGCTGAGAGTTAATCATAATATGAAAGTAATAGTCCATTTGTTTTATAAAAAAAATATTTTTAAGCACTAGTGGCCTTTATTTTTTGAGAGTATGTTGGCAGAAAATTGGGTTAAAAGAGAGGGAAAAGAAATTCTGCAAAAGGTCAGCAGGAATGGGACCCGAACCTTCGACAGTGGTTATGAGTCATACACCATAGCAGCACCCCACTCCATTTGTATATTGCTTAAGGAGGACTAGACTATTGTCCAAGTAAGAGAGTGCACCATCTTTTATAAAGATATCTACACCTTAATTCAGCTTCCGCTTGGAATGTGAAAATATTCACATGAAAAAGCCCCTCTCCTTCCCGTTTATGCTTCTGTGTTATCCTGCTGGAAATGACCTACCTCAACCTTTAGATTAACAAGGCCATACAAACACAACTCACGTCTGAAACTCCATTGTTTCTGCTAAACATGGAACTAATCTGGAAGAGGTAGGGCTTTCTTTACCAACTCTTATCATTATCACTTCACGTCACGCCACATTCCAACACCCTGCCACCAGTTATTATGAAGAAACACCCAGTTTTGGAAACTTTTATGTGTTAGAAAGGTATACATTGATTTCAGGAAGTAGGCCCGGGTTATTCCCTGCTATCACCCTTGGAAATGACACAACAAGCTTCCCTTTCTACAGTAAAACATCTCTTTAGAATTCTTTTTAATATGTGGAAATGTTTTCCCATTACACTAATGAACCCATCTGTTACTGGAGAACTAAAATAATGTCTTCACCTGGTGATTTGAAGCCCAATTTGCTGTCATACATTGGGGACATCAGAGTAATATATCAGTTAATTCATCGATTTATCTCTATTCATTATTAAGTTAGTGTGTATCTTGGTATGCTCAGTGTATCCGATTGTTCTTTGGTCAGTATGTCTGATCGTTCTTTGGTCCTTGTGTCAGATCGTTCTTTGGTCAGTCTCTCCAATTGTTCCTTGGTAAGTCTTTCCGATTGTTCTTTGGTCAGTGCGTCCTATTGTTCTTTGGTCAGTCTCTCTGATTGTTCTTTGGTCAGTGCGTCCTATTGTTCTTTGGTCAGTGCGTCCTATTGTTCTTTGGTCAGTCTGTCTGATTGTTCTTTGGTCAGTGCGTCCTATTGTTCTTTGGTCAGTCTGTCTGATTGTTCTTTGGTCAGTGCGTCCTATTGTTCTTTGGTCAGTCTCTCTGAATGTTCTTTGGTCAGTGCGTCCTATTGTTCTTTGATCAGTCTCTCTGATTGTTCTTTGGTCAGTGCGTCCTATTGTTCTTTGGTCAGTCTGTCTGATTGTTCTTTGGTCAGTGCGTCCTATTGTTCTTTGGTCAGTCTGTCTGATTGTTCTTTGGTCAGTGCGTCCTATTGTTCTTTGGTCAGTCTGTCTGATTGTTCTTTGGTCAGTGCGTCCTATTGTTCTTTGGTCAGTCTGTCTGATTGTTCTTTGGTCAGTGCGTCCTATTGTTCTTTGGTCAGTCTGTCTGATTGTTCTTTGGTCAGTGCGTCCTATTGTTCTTTGGTCAGTCTGTCTGATTGTTCTTTGGTCAGTGCGTCCTATTGTTCTTTGGTCAGTCTCTCTGATTGTTCTTTGGTCAGTGCGTCCTATTGTTCTTTGGTCAGTCTCTCTGATTGTTCTTTGGTCAGTGCGTCCTATTGTTCTTTGGTCAGTCTCTCTGATTGTTCTTTGGTCAGTGCGTCCTATTGTTCTTTGGTCAATATGTCCAATCATTTTTGGGTCAGTCTGTCTTATCCTTCTTTGGTCAGTCTCTCTGATTGTTCTTTTGTCAGTCTCTCCAATCGTTATTTGGTCAATCTGTCCAATCATTCTTTTTTCAGTCCGTCAGATGGTTCTTTGACCAGTGTGTTTGATCGTTGTTTGGTCAGGGTGCCACTTAGTTTGTTCTCCTATTTTTTCTTTACACTGTTTTCTCCGGGGAGACAAACCTCTAAGTAGATTTTTTGTTTTTTGATTGGCTGAATTTTAGACTGAAACCTAAACAATCTTTAGAACAAGATTGGTCCTTAGGGATTTAAACAGGGATGTTTAGTTTTTTTAGAAAGCCAAATGAATTTTTTTTTTCTTACAAAAGCAGTGATTAGAGTTAAATTCAGAACTTTTCAATGCACCTATTAAGTTTAAATTATATATTACTTAAATCAAATTGCCAAACTATTTTAATGCTTATTATACAGCTAGTTTTTTTAAAAACAACAAATAAAGATTGATTATTATTATTAGTCTAGAGTAGTCTATAACAAAAGGGAATTTGAAGTGAGCAGACTTTGAAAATGGTTTCCCTTATTTTACATCTGTTCACTATGAACATTGATATATGTGATTTTTATTCTTTTTGGCCAATGACAACTAAACATAGGCAGCAACTGTGCACGGAGATGAATGGATGAATGGCTGGGTGAATTAATGGATTGAAAATGTTAAAAATTTAAATGGTCTTAGAACTTTTATAGTGTAATCAACTTATAAAATGGGTTATTTTGTGTGTTCCACTGTAGAAAACCCTGCTTTGGACTAAATCTCAGTAGTTCTCCTTGTTAGTTAAGGGTTAAATACACTATGATAAATCTTAGATATGAATATTTAACAATATATTATTGAAACATATTCATCTTCTGTTCTTAAACAGCTTTTTTTTTTTTACATGGGCACCATTTTTCAGAAAGCATAGAAAGTCAGCAGTGCTCCTTTCCATAGAATAAGCCTGATAATCAGAACTGATTGGGGACGCTTTTCTTTGGCAGTAGCTAACGGAAAAATAAAGGCTTCAATTTGCCAGGGAGCATAGAGATCAGACTCTGGTCTATGGAAGAAGGTCATATGTTCCAGAGAGATGGAGACATCAGGATAACAAGAGAGGCAGTTAAGTAATGCCGCCATTATGTCTAGTGCTTCTGTACACACCTGTGGGGCAGTGTTATAATCTGGTGTTGATGAAGTTGCTCAAGTTTTGGTTCAGTAACAGTATGGGCTCAAAGAATGAGTCAGAATCAGTTGACTACTGTACCTAATTAATTGAATGACCAGGTTATTCCATCAATGGATGTTACCTTCCTGATGACATGGCATATTCCAACATGACAAGCCAGGATTCTTCTGGCCTGAATTGTGAAACAGTGAATCAGGGAGCATGAGTCACTTTTACAGATGGATCGGGCACCACAGAGTCCATACCATAACCCCATTGACAATCTTTGGGATGTGTTTGAGAAGGCTTTGCACAGTGATTCAACTCTACCTATATCAAAGCAAGATTTTGGTGAAACATCATCGCCACAATGGGTGGAAATAAATTTGTGACACTGCAGAAGCTCGTCAAAACAAGGCCTCGGCGAATGCGAACCGTAATCGAAGTAAAAAGTCGGTCCAACAAAATATTAGCGTGCAAGGCCCGATGTTAACCATTGCCCGATCGCCCGGGGCAAGTAGCTTTTATTGTCGGGAGAGTACAAATTTACAATTTTTTTAAATTTATCACTCAAAATTACTTTAAAATCACCGACATTCGCTGAAAACGACTCACAAGCGTTTGCCGGCGCCATATTTGTTGTTTTGTACACATTCTTGCTGAATGATGAATTTGATCTATACCATAATACACGCTAGATTAAAAATGATCAGTCAGGGATTAGGAAAATAATAATAATGATAATTGTATGTGCACAGTGTAAATATTTCTATCATATGGCAGTCTTCTGTACAGCGGTCATACATTAAAAAATGTTCATTAAATTTTTTTCTCTTAGACATTTGAGTGGTGCATTTAAATATTATAGAGCTAAACATTTTAAATTGGTGAGTAGTTGTAGTGTAAGTTTTTAACCTGTCAAGTTTTTTTTTAAAGATTTTTAACATTAAAATTAATATTTTTCCCAAGGACACAACAGTTTAAGGCAAAGTTTAGTTTGAAAAGAATGTGCAGGAAGGATTGAAAAGCATGTTAACACGGTAATTTAGGCTTGAGTTCATTATCTGACGCATGCATATACACACCAGGAACCTGGAAACTTACTGAATTACAAAAAAAACATTTTAAAAACAAACATGTTTCATTGATATATATATAAAAAAATTAATATTAGGAACTATATTTATCAAACATTATACTGGGCAAGTAAAAATGGTTTCTGGGCAAATGAAATGTGAAAGCCACTTGCCCAAAGGGCAAGTCACCAATTTAGTGCTACTCGCTCTCAATGGAATTTCTCATTGGGAACCTACTAGCAATAAGTTGCTAACTGGTTAGCAGGATGCTTCCTGGAAACGATCAAACTTGCTTGCCACAACAATCCCGCCCCCTTGATAAACGACCAATCACATTCACTTTATTCACTCGTGTAAAATCAGGCACCTATCGGGAGAATTCGGAAATGCGACGGTTGGAACAGCTTCTTCCCTACGACTTTAACCTCTTAGATGAGCAAATCAGGCGAAAATAATTCAAAGATACCTCCGATCTTCTATAGAACACCTTAAACTTCTTCTAACTCTACTGAACCAACCCAAAGTTTAGCATCATTCCTCAATGGTTTACCTTCATATTTTTTTCATTTTTGTCCCCAGACTGACCTCTAGCTTGTTGAATTTGAAAGGTTTTCTTAATTTCTTCCAGAATGTCAAGCACAGGAAGTATGCCCGCTGGAAGGCTACCTACATCCACAACTGTCTGAAGAATGGGGAGACCCCTCAGGCAGGCCCCATCGGCATGGATGAGGATGAGGAAGCAGGTGAGACCCTCTGATACAGTCCTGTTCCTCCACTACGAGCACCAAGCCTGATTTTTTTTAAAAAACACACCAAGACCAACTTCCTTTGCGGGGTTTGGCAGGGTTTAATCTGTGTGGGACGGAGTGTTAATGTGAGTGTGTGTGGGGTTTCAGCCCTGCTTGGTATTGTTCTGGTTATCAGCTCTCATGAGAGTTGCTGGAAAGCTCTGCAGTCAAAGCTGTAGACTCTGAAAGATTAGCGGTGTGTGATTAATAGATTAATCATCTATTATGTTCTCACATGCAACGACTCCTGCTTTTTACATAATCGTCTGTCTTCTTTGGAGTCGTTTCATTCTAAATATCCTAAGACTTTGCGGGCCTCCACCTCTTTTTTAATGCCTTGAATAAACTGAATTTTTACTGTTTTACTTACTTATCAACTTCTAATCAACTGAAAGGCTCTGACCTTTGCTGCTTTCAAAACCCATGAACTTTTATGCAAGTTTACATAGTAAAATATAACCTTTTAAAGACAGAGAGCCTTGGAGAACCTCTTTGTTTGAGCCTGGATGACAAAATATGCCCTTTGAGATTAGAGTTTGGACAGCATTTTGTCAGAAAAAAAGGGCTATAAATTTAAGGTGATTGTTGCTTAAACTCCACACTTTTTGCAGCTGGAAATGGTTGCAAGAGGATCAACCACAAATCTGCTCAAAGAATGACCTTAAAAGTTATTTGTTATAGCTTGCTAATAAAGATTTATTTTCCCCGATCAAGCCAGAGACTTTATGATTATCCTTCACCTACACACACTGAGCTAAATTTATTGTTCGACGACCAATAAAAAAAATACTTTTTCCTCCTACTAAATAACACATGCAGCGAACCGAAGACCCTGTTAAAGGCCCATGGGGTTTGCCATACAATGTAGAGCAATACCGATAATCTCAGAGCTTATTCCAGCTATGACCCAGAAAATTCTCCTTTACTTTTAACTCAACACACGCTCAATCTAATGCTCTGTTAAATCAGTTTTTTTCCTTCATTTTTTTTTTCTTGCAGCTCTTTGTCTTTTTGGATTGTACGCTATCAGCCTGAAACCACTTTTTTCTGGCCCCCAGCAGATTTTTCTGGTCTTTTTATCGGTTTTTCAGATGGCCGCTCACACTCAGCCTGGTTCTGCTGGAGGTTTCTTCCTGGTAAAAGGGAGTTTTTCCTCTCCACTGTTGCTACAAGCATGCTTAGTGAGCGGGATTGCCTTCAAGTCAATGAGTCGCTGCAATCAACTGGTTTTCCTTTGATAGAAAACTTTGAATCAATTTGAGTCTATGATCTGGTTGAACTGTGAAGTGCCTTGAGATGACATTTGTTGTGAATTGGCGCTATAGAAATAAACTGAATTAAATTTAATTGTTTTTTTTTTGTTTGTTTTTCTAAATATGCTTTAGGTAATTGACAAGCTGAAAAGGCGTTCCTCTTAGTCATCTAATTTCCACTACGTTTTGTTTTTTCAGGCATAGAATGGAGGCAGCATGCAAGCGTTTTAAAACAGTTAGATTATTTGTCATGATCTTATCTAAAGCTCGGACCCACAGGCAGAGAAACCAATTCAGAGGAAGCGGGGAAAAGGTTTAACGGGTCCTATTGAAGAAGTAAAACAGAGGGAGAAGTGTTGCTCTGAACACTGCTCAACCAGAACTGTAAAGTGAGGGGAAGACACAGCGGTTAGTTCAGGATCAGTGGGGAATTTGACCCGTGAACTTGGTGAAGAGGATTTGGTTGCCGACTCACGTTTCCAGAGAAGTTGATGAATCCTTGACTCCTGTCTGTGTGCCATGGTTCCAGTGTTTGTCTGATTCGGTGGAGGGCGGAACAGGGTTTACCAGGAATGCAGTTGATAGTTGGTGAACGGAGATAATGACTGCCACTCAGATTTCCTGCGGTACTTGAACCGGTCGTAGTGGAGAATAATCCCTTTCTCAGTGAGAAGCTCAAACGATCTCTTGGGGAAAGTGGATCCAAACCTCCTGTTTGAACCCCAACTCAGTTTGAAGCTCAGTTGATCCTTCCAGGGAGAGAAGGTCCGAGAAATCCAGTTTGCAGGATAACTTCCTGCCCAGAGGCAAAGACAAAAACAAAGTTAAACTCAGGTTGATCAAAGGCTCAGCTTGACTCAGCAAACTCAGCTTGGCTAGAGTACCATAAACTGGCAAACACTCCGGCGTCAAAGTAGTGGCATTTAGAAGCTTAAAAACACTCGGTTAACGAGGAAACCATAAGCAGGTGTGTGAGGAGACGGACCAGAACCAGGCGATAAACACAAACACAAAAACATGAGTCCTGACATTATTTACGTTAAATGCATAACATGGTCGTTCATACCTACACATCGCCTAATGTCGGTTAAGTTTCTAATTTCATAAAATGTTATACGGTCCTGTTTGGTAAGCAAGAAACAAAAAACAAACAAAAGTCTGGTTGCCTTACACTATTAAGCCTGTTTTGAGTTTCCAATACATCAGCTAAGAGTATTAACCAATATTGATTTAATAGTGATCAGCACTAACCATAGATACTTTTATATCATATGAGTCAAATGTTGTTAAAGACTTGATTAAGTAATGTTACTCAATAAGAGAACAATTGTCAACATGTATGAGAAGAACTGATGCTTTTATTATAGATGAATGGGTTAAATAAACTTCACTCAGGAACAGGAGGAAGCTGAGTGTCACCTTCACCATTTTGGAGATTTTAGGAGGAGGCTGGTATATTCTGATATACATTTTTTGGCCGATGTCAGACCAGTTGGTAACGATCTTGGTTCTGTTGTTTTTCTCTAAGTTTTCAGTTTCAGGTTTAGCCAGGTTTTTCCTTGTTTTCTAGCTTTATTGGTGTCTGGATTCATTTAAGTTGGTTTGGTTTTTCTGTCTGTCCTCTGTTGCCCCCTTGTGTTCTTTTCCCTTGGCTCCCTCATCAGCTCTAGTCACACCTGCTCCTTATCAGCTCGTTAGCTCTACCTTCGTTCAGCCAGCCATAAATACACTCCCTCTGCAGTCCCTCTTTGCTGGTTCCTCATCTTACTTTTTCTTACCCTGGCTCCTTGATGGTTTTCCCCTGATGTCTCCATGGTTCTGGTTTGTGTTTGATTTTTATGTTGGATTTTTGGATACCTGTTTTTGTTTAACATTTTTAAGTTGGATTTTTGGATTCCTTTTGCTGCCTGTTCTTTCATTAAACCTTTTAAGAACTCACCTCTGCCTGTCAACCTCTGCATTTGGGTCCTCACAAAAACCTCCAAACAAATCGTGACACAGTTTAGAATATCAATATCAGATCAGGACATCCCTAATCTGTGGTTTCTACTAGATTTGATTTGGACAAAAAAAAAATTATGCATTTCAGCTACATTATCTTATTATAAATAGATGTTTATCAATGTTAAATATATAATTCATACCTATAATTTTAATCTGACCACGGCATGCTGATTATCCATATTTAGCTGTGTTTTGTTGGAACCGTACACCAAGCTAACATGTATCCCTGTATTTCTACTTTGGAGTTGTTGGCATTGAACTCCTTTTGTTTAACACCTGTAAACAGGGATGGTGTAGGTCCAGCGGGGCACTCTCTCTCTCCTATACTGGACCCAGCTCAGCTCATAGATGCAAGAGAAATGCTATAGGGACTCTAAATCGATTTATAAACCAGTCATCATCATGGGCCAGGTAATGTTTTCGATCCCTGAAAACATGTTCCCTCCTAACTCTGTCCTGCAACAGATCTATCCGCCTCGCACCATTTCGTACGGTGTCACAACAGTTTTTAAATCTTTACAGCAATCGTTTAATTCCCTCACACCTTTACACAATTGATGTGTTCATCAGTGTTTCGACTCGCCCTGGTGATAATCGGAGGAATATGATGGTGAGGAAACGTTAACGGAACAGACTTGGATTTTTTTTTTTAAACCCTAAAACGGTTTTGTGAGTGTATCACAGAAACCTTGTATCAGCATGAATGGTGGACTGTTTTAGTACCTTAGAGACATAGATGGAGCAGAACAGTTAACGTGGTCTGAACCTTCTGGGATGGTAAAGTGTGAACAAATTGGTCTGTTGTGTTTTCATTGTGACTGGGAAGTCATTAAATCACTCCAAACCCTGATAACTTTAACCACATGGTTAGCTTTTACCTCCACCCATGGGACTACGCAACATCTGGAATTGCTTTCAGATTACATTCTGATAGTTTGATGTTCTATAAAAGCCTCTTAGGAATAGGACAAGACGTCTGTTTTGACATGAGCACCTTTGGACCGAAAAATGTTTCCCTCCCTGAAAGGGGAAACGTTAAACATGCTTCTTAAGTCAACGAAATTACGTTGACAAATTCCTCCTTGAATAAAGTCCATCTGCTGACCCCACCCACTCACTCCACATACATTTGGGTGTGCGTGACCCCAAAACATGGCCTGATAACGATGACATCAACTTGTAGAACCATAAGCTCAGAGAAAACACGTTGGTGTTGCTGTTTCACAATAAAAACTTGACTCTTCTTTTCTAGGAGTGCAGAGGTGCCTTTCTGAAAATGGTGACAGCTAATTTCCACTAATTTTTATTATCTGCCTGGGCTTTGTCAGATTATATTCAACCTTTCCTCTCTGAAAAGTACGGAAGAGGATTATGGCCACTGGAAAAAAAAAAAAAAAAAGTTAACTGATTTTTAAATTTTATTTCAGTTTAGTATGGGGAAAAAAGTCAGAATTCTAACTTTAATCTCAGAATATATATATATTTTAGCGGTGGAACGGTTCACAAAATCCACGGTTCGGTTCGGTTCATGGTTTTGTGGTCACGGTTTTTGGTTCGGTTTTTGGTTCGGTTCGGTATGTGTTGATTCTTACACCGAAATCCCATAAAAATTAATAAAATTAATGAAAAAATACAAAAAAATTAATGAATTGTAATTATTTTTAATGATCCGTGGAAACCATGGATCATTTCCGCATGTTTTGCTGCTTTGAATTTAATCATCTGGCGCATGCTCTCTACGATCTCCAAGGAACTCAGAGCGGAGCATATGGGAGCCACAGTGGAGGCTGTAGGCTTTGCTTTATGCAGGCGGTCTGGGGCGGAGCAGAGCGCTGACGGAGTATGTGGGATTTCGGGGTTAGCATGACATGTTGGTCGTGTTGCTGTTAGCATAAACAAAACGTGTTGCACAATGCTTGCACACTGTTGTGCTTTTATCCACAACTTTCTTTCCGCCATCATCGTAGGTCACTCTAAATGCAAAGTGGTCCCATACAGCAGACCTATAAAGTGCTGCTGGCGCGTCTTCCAACTCCTGTTCTTTTCCACTCGCCATACCCACACAATTCTCCACAACAACTGATTTTTTTCTGCTACACCCGGCTACGCTGCTTCGCTTCTTCTTCTTCTTGTTTACTACTGGTGGTTGGCTTTGGTCACAGTACCGCCACCTTCTGCACTGGAGTGTAAACGCTTCGCCTATGAGAAAAAGGAGCGGCGCATGAACCGAACGCAACACACGCGAATCGAACAGAGACAGTCGAACCGAACGGTTCGGACGGTTTTCATAAACCGTTCCATCCCTAATATATATATATATATATATTTCTGTCACATTTAGAGGGGATATGAAAACAAGACGTCCTTTTCAAAATTCATTATAAACACAACGGTGTTTAACCAAATATTAGCATAATCAGCATATCAGCAGAACCATCCATCCATCCATCCATCCATCCATCCATCCATCCATCCATCCATCCATCCATCCATCCATCCATCCATCCATCCATCCATCCATCCATCCATCCATCCATCCATCCATCCATCCATGATATTTAATTTCATCACTTAGTTTTGAAATTTGAATCTTTTCCCCCGTTTGTTTATGGAAGTGGTTGAACGTTGTATATAAGTTCCCATGCTTCTCTCCTTACGATGAGGGCTTACTTAAAATAACTTCATTAAGTTTTTCTTCTGGAGGACCAGTAGGAAACATGCGGACGGATTCTGCAGGAAATGCAAGACGCTGCTGGAATCCAAATGTTCCTGTGGTAACCAGAACCAATGACATCAGTTCTGTTTCTGCAGCTCAGTGGTGGAAGTTGTTTCCTTTCTTCAGTCCCCCTACCTCCACCCTCCATCCATTCCTTTCCTCTTGCTCAACACGTCCCCTTTCCAGCCAATGGAAAGTCAGAGCGGAGCTGCGGGGAGACAATGGTGTTTCTGTAACCACCGCTGGTATATCTATGTGGTGGAGGGAGTGGGAGCCAGAATGTGTGTTAAACACAGCATACTGCTCTCCGGAGGTTAATTAACCCGCTTTAACTGAGTCCTATGGATTCAGTGCTCAGTTCCCGCTGCTTTAAAAGGCAGAGCCAGTCCTTCTGAAATGTAAAAGAAGCACTCCTGACCAGTGGAAAGTCGAAGCAGATCGATATTAAAAGTTTCACAAACTTTATTTGAATTATGAAACAAGTTGAAACAGTTTCTTGTGTTTTCTTCCTGCATTTCAGATGAGTTTGGAGCCGAAGGTTTCTCAGGACAGAGCTTCTCACACGGAGGCTCCTTCAGGGCAGATCTTCCCTCTCAGGACCAGAATTCAAATCAAGGTCCAGCCCCAGGAATCGGCTTCTCTCAGGATCCTGGATCGGCTCCAGGGGGCCAACCTGCCTCAAATTACAACAACATCCAGATCCCACCGGGGGCCCACGCACCGGCCAACACTCCAGCAGAGCTGCCTGCCCCTTCAGGTACGACCCAAAGGCCAGCCAATGGCGTTCTTCATCCTCCAGTCGCTCCATAACCCTGTTTAAAGAGTTCAAACTGAAACTAAGGAAACATCCTGAAGATCAGCAGTTAATCACTCAATCCTGGGTTGTTTATTTCACATTATACGCCACATTGAATCTGCCTCCTGTTTTCTCAGCTGTGATCTGTGATTGGAAGTTTACTGGTGTGAACTGGAAATAGTTTAATGTTTAATTTAAGCATAGGAAGGAATATTTAGTAATAAATTAAAGCAAGAAGCAAACAAGTTTCTTACTGACTGCAGTAAATTTAGAGAAGTTTATGAAGAATTGCAAAGTAATTATTGTTATTTAATAATAACAATAATTGAAATTTATTGATCTCATATAGGAGAAATGTACCTCTGCCCACTGCTCTTGGGGAGCAGTGGGCTGCCATTGTGGGGTTAAGGGTCTTTGCTCAGAGGTGGCAGTCTGTGGAAGTGGGGATCGAACTCAGAACCTGAGGATTCCAAGCCCTAAACCCTAACCACTAGGTCACTACTCACCATAACAGTCAGAATGAATCACTTTTTGTTTTTAAAGACCTTTAACTGACTTATAGTCATCAGATTTTTTATCCAAATATAACAGATCACATCTCTAAGAAGTCATTTACTTTAACGCTGGGGAATCACTAAATACTGAATATTCTATATGTGAGAATCCAAAGGAAGGAGAAGTTCCTGATTGATAAACTTGGTTGACTTTACTCCTGCTGACTGGTTTAAACATTAATTTAAGAGCTTGACTGCTTTGAGTTATTTGGTGTTGATGATTTGTATTTTTTTTAAGCTTAAATGCCCCATCCCTCCATAAAACACCTAAACGATGCGGCCTGAAGACCTGCTCACCCAGTGAGCACAACTCCACATTGGAAAAATGATCTAGAAATAAGTAAAAATATCTTAGATTAAGTGCATTTACCCTTATTTTGAGCAGGTAAATATGATAGTTTGCCAATGGGATGAGTATTTTCACTCTTAGTATAAGATAATTAGATATATTCACTGGAAAAAAGACAACGCAATTGTTTTTTTCTTATTTTAAATGTAAATTGTCTCGTTCCATTGGCAAAATGTCTAATTTTCCTCCTCAATTCAAGAAAAAAATGCAATTATTTTAAGACAAAATGACTTATGTAGATTACATTTTTTTGCAGTGCATAAGCCTTCCCTCCTAATCGTCACGCACTAATCTCTCCGGTAGACCTTTAACCAGCTGATTGCAAAAAAAACTGAACGCCTGCCACTATAGCCCCATCTCCTCTACCATTTTGAAACAGTGCCTGGTCGGTCCGAACATGGTAACCGAAATAACTGTTGAGTGTAAATGGCATGTAAAACTGAGCCGGACCGCGCCAGACATAACCGAACCACGCTAGCATGGTACTAGTTCATCAGTAGGGCTCGGCGCGGTTCAGTTCTGGCTCAGTTCTCAGATAACAAAGAACGCATGAGTAGGCCGCGACATCTCCTTACAGTCAGCCTCCATAATCATGAAACTTCAGACATTTCTAAAAATACCAGCTTCCCTACCGTGCCACATGATTTCCAGTGATGATTCTGTGATGAACCTCATAGTCTGTTGTTTCCTGCGTCTGTGGCGGCCGGTGGAGTTTTCTCCTTGCCTGGGTGCCAATCCGAACTTAGTCCCGCCCACAAGGTTTGAGTTCGGGGAAGTTCGGTCTGGCTCTGCTCCATAGTAGCGCGAGTATGATCGCCCACTGTCAGGCGATCCAATCAAATTGTCAGGGCGGGCTTTATACGATGATGGACAGATGATCAAGAGTAACGTAATCAACCACGTGACCAAAGCGCGCTTGGGTGACAACAACAATGGCTGCCGCTGGAGAGTTTGGGTGAGTAGATTCTGCTATTAGGTCTGTTCTAGAAGATATCGACAGCAAATTAATTTTAAAAGAGGAACAGAGAAACGCGATCAAGTCTCATCTTCTTATTCTAGGCGTGAAACTGCACGCTTTGATTTTTGTGGACAACAACTATGCCTGGCTTAACATACGTCACGCACTCCGTTGCTCTTATTGGTTGTAGGTCTATCCAATTGAGTGCAGAGGCATTTTTTTTCCTGGTTCGTTCGAAACACGCCCCATAATCACAGCTCTATGGAGCAGCATCAGACTCATATTCTGACTAGAATTGAGTCGGACTACGTCAGGCTAGTTTTCTCCAGGGAGGGCTATAAAATCAAAATAGACGTATACCAAAAACCAATAAAACGCATATCACACCGGTATACGTATATGAATGCCAACAACAACAAACATTATAAAAATACTTCATAAAAACAAAACATCATTTCATTTACAGGTTTATGTTTGTACATATATCTTGCCCTTCTGAGGCTTTGTGTAGGCAAATAGTCCTATATTCTTTCATTAACCTAAAAAAATAATGTACAAGTTTAATAACGGAGAAGCTCTTAGTCAGCTTTATATTATTTTCATATATAAAAACTATTCTGAGAATGTATTTATTTAAGAGCTACTATCCAAGTTAGGAGACGCCTAGAAAGAGTAGACTATATTATATTATTTTCCATGTGAATCCCGGATTTTTCATGCTTTTTTTGCCTTTTCTAAGAAGTGCTTTAAATCAGTCCTAGCTGTCTTTATTCATACTGGGTCAGATCCCCACGTTTAAAAAGGAGGCAGGGAAAGCAGAATAAAGTGTTAGCCTCGCTACATGCAGTTAGCCAAGCCTTGTAGCTAAACCGGGTCCTGGAAAAGGATGGTTTCCATTCCCCCACCCAATAAAAACGTGTCTCTCCTGCGACTCGCCCTGTCAATCAGCCTCAAAAAGTTTGCGCTGTGGAGGGAGGTAGTGAGCAAATACGCTCTCCGGCGCCCCGAGCTCTTCTATACCTTTTTTATTGCAGAGGAGCTACTGCGCATGTACGATTTTTAACGAGTCTATGATTTTGGCGCCCTAGGACGGAAATACACCACCAATCTGGCCAAAAATGGAATGGCGCTTTACCAGTCATTAAAGATTAAATATTTATCTTTCAGATCTAAAAAATATATATTCATATATTTTGAAATATTTTACATTTTAATTTAATCTAATGTTTGTCTTCCATCTTTTCTGTTTTAATCGGGGTCATTGGGTGGGTGGGGCGGCAACCCAGTGCCCTCTTTTGGTCGTACACAACTGCTATAAGCCCTGATTAGACTATCGTTTGTCATATCCACTTTCCAAAAGCCGAAAAGCTGCCTTCTTCGCCTGACTCTCCACAAACAACAAAAATGTCACAAATATAACCAAAACCAAACTACCTGAATGTTACAGGCACCATCATGGCGATCTACTTGTTTACCGCTAGACAGCAGTTGTTCTGTAGATCGCACATTGGAGGCGAAGGAATCGTCCTAGCGTGGTGTGTAAACAGTCATAAGGAACCGAGTTGGCATGGTTAACCGATCCAAGCTTGGTCCGAACTCGGCACAGATCGGTTTTCAGAGGGTAGTGTAAATGGGGCTACTGATTCCCCTGAAAAGAAACAAATAAAAACGAATTCAGTCCATCTTCAATCCCCCTCAAACTAACTGGAGTCACGTTCTTGCGACTCACTCTGTGTTCTCCATACCATGTGATCTTTAGGTATCCCCCAAGGCTCTAATCTCGGGTTACTTCAGTGAGGTACTGCTGTCTGTTTTCACTCTTTCAGATCTTGATCATCCGCTGAGAACGGTTCCTTTTACCCCTGATTTGTATTTAATGTTTTGCTCAGTTTCTTCCATTTTTTTTTTAAATCATTCTAGTGCGTGAAGATTTTTTATTAAAGAATCTTCTGATTTCATGACTGAATTTGGTGTTAAGTTCAGGTGTTAAATATTGCTTCATCTCAACTTTGAAGATATCTGAGGTGTTATTTACAGCCAAAGACAAAGAGGGGGATTATTGAAGGACTGTTTTGATAAAAGGCAGGATGTTTGTTTTTCTTCCCATTCAGCATAAGTTGATAGCAGAGAAGGCATTTCTGCAGCGCGAGCTGGCAGAAGAAGTGCAAACACTCTCACTTTGTTGAGTTATCGTCCGACTGGCACTTCTTCAAACATGTCTGCGGTAAAAAGGGTTGATTAAGATTAAGGAGTGTCAGAAGTTGAATGTAGAGCTCGTCCAATCAAACTAAGTGCTGATAGACGAGGTGTTTTTCCTCTGAAAATGTGACTGATGGTGAATAACTGTAATGTATTCCCTGAGAGCCTCCAGAAGGACAGGGTGTCTGCTCAGGCATTCATTTAGAAAATACATCACCAGAACAAGAGTCCGTAGGTTTTTGGAAATATTTGTTGTTTTTCCACTTAATGTTTGCATGGGGGGGTAGCACAATGCCAAGCTGGAAGGATCTCAGAGTTGACCTTCAAGCAGAGGTGTCAAGTAACAAAGTTCATTACCTTACTTAAGTAAATATGTTAACTTTTTTCTTCTACTCTACATTTTACAAATAGACTCGTTAGTTTTGTTTCATTTACGTTTCATTATGGCCTCTAAATTATCAAAATAATTTGTTTCATCCAAACAATTTCTTTGTGGTTAGAATTGGTGCTGCCCCAACTTGTTGTTTGCCACGTACCATAATAAATGTTTTTTTTTTTCTTCCAAGATGATTCAGTTATTTTTTGTAACCCTTATCATTAGTTATTAGGGGTGGGTATTGGCAAAGAAGTCATGATTCGATTGGAATCACGATTCACATGCAACGATGCGATTCTATCACGATGCATCACGATACTTGAAATATTGCGATGCATCGTGATGCATTGCGATATATTTTCAAGAAAAAGATACAGCCCTTACCAGTGGCTGACTGGCTGGGTGTGATCTGGATAGTGTCTTCAATTGATACATAACATGAAAGCAACTGAATTCATACATAGCTGTATTTATTGAGACGACTTTTGGTGGTGTTGCCATGGAAACAAATACTGGACAGAAATATTGCTATTACTGGTGTGGACACACTGACAAAAAGATCTTAGGATTCATCAAACTTAAAATAACAAAATAAGGATAATCAGTGCCGTTTACATGGCCTCACTGGTGACACAAGGCAGCAGGCGTCAAGACAACCGCAGCGACATCTGCTGGACTGGAAGTTGTATTCCACTTGATTTGGCTGATGTGCGGCAACCATTCATGTATTTTATTTGTTCTTTTTTTTATTTATTTTTTTTTATAATTGATTCTTGCCTTCAAGAATCTATTAAAATTAGAATCGCGATGCATCGTCATGACGATTATTTTGCACACCCTTATTAGTTATACAACTTAGAAATTTAAGTCTTAGGAAGTTATCATCCAGAACTGTAGAAAATGTTCCTTTACGGCATGGGAAGAGGACTTGGGTTTTCTGTTTCCAGATGACTTGTGGGATAGAATTCTTTAGCGTGTACATGGTTCGTCACTGTGTGCCAGACATGGACAAATTCAGTGTAGGGTCCTGCATCGCACTCACTGGACTAAGGCCAGGCTTTCTAAAATATACCCAAACGTTAGCCCGGAGTGCGATCGTTGCCATCAAACACCTGCCTCACTGATCCATATGTTTTGGTCATGCCCATCACTAAAGCGATATTGGACAAACATTTTTGCAGCCTTGTCTGAAGTAGCTCATATGTCCATCCAGCCTGATCCCCTAACTGCATTGTTTGGTGTACTTTCTGAGACGGTTTCTTTGTCAAGACTTTAGGCTGATCTGATTTCATTTCTCACTTTGTTGGCGAGGCGTAGAATATTGCTGTGCTGGAAATCAGCTTTACCTCCCTCATTTGAAATCTGGATTAAAGATGCTTTACACTTTAGTAAACTTGATAAGATTAAATTTACCCTACGAGGTTCCACAACTACATTTTTAAAGATTTGGCAACCGTTTTTTGATTTTATTCAGACATTGCCGTCCCGTATGGTGCCCAACTAAATTTTGCTTTTGCCTGACCTATCAAATTATTTATTCTGTCATTATTACCCATTGATGCACTTTTTTCTTAAATCCTCCCCCCCACCACCCTTTTTTTTTTCCTCTCACTATTAATCTTGTTCCTCTGGATTTTATTTGGGAAGGCTTATCCATGTGTACTGTACGACCTATGTTCGGTTCTGTTATAGAAAAAAAGTCTACATATCTTGTTCATATATTTTTGCACATTTTGTATTTTGATGCTAAAACCTAATAAAAAAAATAAAATAAAAAAAAAAGTTCCTTTAACCCCTAGAACCCTACGGACCCACCGGTGGGTCCAGCTTCTACGTGACCTTGTAATTTTAACAAACCCCCAGTATTGATGTAAAAAACACATTTGGCACAGTTTGGTGACATTTATGGATAAATGTGCCAAAATGGCCTCTCCGCCTAAGAAATTTCTCACTAATACCATTCTAAAATAAATATGATTCATCTGATTGAGTCCAAATTTGGTATATTTTTACACAACATTTAGATTTAAAAGTCTGTACTACTTTTTTGTGCTATAAATAATATTTTGGTAGTGTTTTGCAATGTTTATTTCAAAGAAAATTTTGCCGATGTTCAAAAAATGCAAAATATTTTGTATTTTGTCCCTAATAGTTCAGGCAGGGTCAAAGCTACAATGGTGCTGACACCAGAAAACCATTCTATGACATCTTACCTTTACAGACGTACCAAAAGTTTCTTCTTAAATCTAATAGCTGTGAGGCTATAAGTTATTTACTTATGTGTGTTTTTGTCAGGCAGAAATTTATTTATACCCCCTTAGGGTGTAAGAGGTTAATAGGGTGGTGCTGGAAAGCTTCAGTCCTTAACATTTTTCCTGCATTAGTTTTACTTTTATACTTTAAGTAGTTTTAAAAATTTTACTTTTACTTCAGTAAAACACTTAAGTTGATACTCTAACTTCTACAGGAGTTTTTTTTTTAAAACAGTAGAGTCCATCATGAAAGAAACTGTGTTGAAAGGTTGGAAATTTTTGATTTCTCTTCCCATATATTGATTTATGCTATTTACGTTTTTTACTCGCTGTGTTTCACCTGCAAGGGCACACAATGCCTGAGTGAGGGGTGTTTGTAGACAAGCCATACGTATTCCCATAACAAGCCAGATTCTTTCTCAAGGTTTATTCATAACATGTTACTGTTAGACCAAAGGGTCAGTAATTTGTTTTGACTCTGACTACTTTACATTATTGTAAGTAAGGGGCGATGAACGCTGTCCAGTGAACGCACCTTGATATGTGCTTGAGAATGGCTTAGTCTCCATTCAAACCCAGGTTTAAAGCCTAAAGCCCACTGCTCTCATTAAGACGGGGAAAAAAAGTGGTCAGTTCAGGTGTTTTATAAAATTGTTTATATACCAAACTGAAAAGTTGTTGTTCTCTACCTCAAAAAACACTTGATTTTAAAATGGAAAAACTTTTCAATTTTTTTATATTTATTTATTTATGCAAAAAGTCAATGTATAACATGAATGCATAAACACCTAATTTTATTTCAGTGTTAAATTCTGTTTAAAGTAACAGGTTATAATAAAAAATGTCTCCGGACCTGTTTGATGATTTTCTTAATTCGGACCTGTGTTTAAATTGTTACTCCTGCTCTAGTGATTTGTGTTTGGAGAGAGAAAAACAAATTATTTCTCTAGTAACAGACTTTAGCACTGACAACCTCTCATTTATTGCTGCCGCTTTTTTTTCATAAATGATTGAAAAGACATCTTCTGTTGTAAATCTAATTTATTATTATTTCTAAATAGCGTTTTTTTTACTTTAGGCTTTTGACTGTTTCTTCTTTCCCTGCTTTTGTTCAGGAGAAGCTGTTAAACCGATGCCTGCAGCCCCAGCCGTTCCTAATGTTGATCCGTCTCTATTCAACGCCCAGCAGCAGGGTAAGGAAAACCCGCACACCCCCCACACCCCAGTTCTGCCTCAAATGCAGATTCTGTTCTTATACGCCTGGCATCCAAACCTTTTGGTTTCACAGAAAAAAAAAAACTCATAATGTCGGAGAATCATAAATTAATCAGTCACATCTCATATCTTTACCTTGTAGAAAAATGGTCCTGGTGATCTAACGATGTCTCAGACCGTTCACTTTTTAAACTCTTTCTTTTTTTTTTCTTCAGTGTTACAAAATCCAACAGAGATTTTGAAGGATCAATTTATGTCTGGAGCCCAGAAATGCTTTATTTTAGAAAAATACAAGAAGGAGCTCGTATGACAACAATGGAAATGAAAACACTAAACAGAAACGGTGAAACATTTTGAGTCGAGGTTCATATGTTGTGTTTCCATTAATCTGACTCATCTTCAGTTTATGTTTACTTGCTTTTAAATTTAAACAAATAAACCCAGAATAAGCATTTCACATCTGATGCAGGTCCAGCAGATTCTGCAAAAGTTTCTTTCCCACTGCCATCAGACAGCTGAACTGTTGATCTGACACTGCATCAAACTGATAACACTAAACAAAAAATACTGCGTATTTGAACTACATAAATCAATTCTCTGAACTTCCATATCAGTGCATTTTTTGCACCATTTTTTTCTCCCAAATAGTTTACATTTGATCACTACGGAAGAGGATTAGGGCCACTGGAAAAAAAAAAAAAAAAGTTAACTAATTTTTAAATTTTATTTCAATTTAGTATGGGAAAAAAGTCAGAATTCTGACTTTTTTCTTAGAATTCTGACTTTGATCTGAGAATTTTGACTTTGATCTCAGAATTCTGACTTTTTTTCTCAGAATTCTGACTTTTTTTCTCAGAATTCTGACTTTAACCTCAGAATTCTGACTTTTTTCTCAGAATTCTGACTTTAATCTCAGAATTCTGACTTTAATCTCAGAATTCTGACTTTTATCTCAAAATTCTGACTTTAATCTCAGAATTCTGACTTTAATCTCAGAATTCTGGCTTTAATCTCAGAATTCTGGCTTTAATCTCAGAATTCTGACTTTAATCTCAGAATTCTGGCTTTAATCTCAGAATTCTGACTTTAATCTCAGAATTCTGACTTTAATCTCAGAATTCTGACTTTAATCTCAGAATTCTGACTTTTTTCTCAGAATTTTGACTTTAATCTCAGAATTCTGACTTTTTTCTCAGAATTCTGACTTTTTTCTCAGAATTCTGACTTTAATCTCAGAACTTTGGATTTTAATGTAGATGGGCACCATGAAAGAAGAGATGTGGGAGCACTGAGCTTCACTGACAAAGATGTAAGTTGTTTGAGAGGGCCAGTGACACTTTGGTGGAAAATGACAGAATTAGGCAACTTTTTACGTGCCCGAGGGGTCCCCTCATTAATAAAGGAGCAGAAGGTCATTAAAACAAGAGAGCTAGTCTCTAAAAAAGACATGGCTATGGCTTGATGCTAACATGTTTGTTAGCTGTCAGAATTCTGAGATTAAAGTCAGAATTTTCCCATACTAAACTGAAATAAAATTTAAAATCAGTTAAGTTTTTTTTTTCAGTGGCCCTAATCCTCTTCCGTAGATCACTGCTGCACTTTAAGGAATGGAAATCTTCATTTACTGTCTGAAAGCCGTACTAAACAAAATGTCTTGTTGTATACACTCTGAGTATACAAAGTGACAATATAAACTGTCTAAGTCTAAGGGCTGAAGGGAAAAGGAGAGTTTAGAGTCTTATTGCATCTATCCGTCCATCTTCTCCTTCTAACATTCCTTTCCCTGCATTTCAAGCCGGAAAGTTACATTTTTTTTTTGCTTGGGAAAATTCTAAACAGTGCCCGACAATCCTAATAATAAATAACATAAAAAAAAAAAAATTTGACCTGACCTTACTGTTAGATTTTATTTGGTTAAAGTGATTTATAAGCAGTTATGTCATTAGGCGGTTTTCTTCTAAATTCCCTTTTTGAAATGAAGCACAAAAAAATAAATAAAATGAAGTCTAGTACCAAAAAAACAAACTCCTCAAACGGGTTTTTTTTTTTTTCTTCTTTAGAGGTTTATGTGTGAAAGATACGGCCGCCCCTGTCACCTCCATCAGTGCGGTTTTATGAGATATCAGGCCTGGCAGGGTCTCCCTACCAGGGCTGCGTCTCTCTCCTGATTTCAAACTGAAGTAAAATAAGCGTCTCTACAGGACAGGCTGAGGTTCGCCTTCTGAACATATCATTTTAACCACACCACCGCCTCTTTGTCGCTTTCTACACCGTGATTAGCAGGTGGTGGCGAGCCACAGCCAGGGTCAGCGGTGAGACTGGAGCCCAGCTGCTGCTCTGAGCGTTTACACTGTAGATTAAAGCAGATCCACTTCTCCTTTTATTGTCTTCTATAATAGTAATCTTTTTTCTTAAGTCTTAAACTACATTTCCTTCTGATGGGTAAAAATGTGACCACACATTTTATGATGATTTTCTTCTAAAGCTGATGATTAGTCAGGATTTTAAACTTTATCATTCTAATTTCTATTTTCTCATTCTGATCCTTATAAAGTAAAATCACCTTGTTAATAAGAGCTATATTTCCCCATCTTACAGGGAAATAAACTGTTCTTGAAAATATTCTTCAAATTTTCAGAAATTTTAGTTTTATGTCCATAAATAACGGTAAAAAATGTTGATTATTTCCATGAATTATTACAAACCTTATCATGATATTCATGTTGTTGTGTATTTCTCTGAAATAGGAGAGTAATTAGTAGCAGCACTGATTCTTATCAGTGTTTGTCCTTCCTACAAATTGAAAAGAATCTTTGATAAGCTTGTTTTTTATGGAAATATGGAAACGTATGCAGTTAACAACAAAAGCAGAACAGCTTGAAGGGAAAACAGTAGATTTGTTGGTGAGATTTTAGCACCAAGGAATAAAAAAAAACATCAAAATAAAGACCAGCTTGAAGTAGCAGGGCATTCAGAATGATGTTTTTCTTTTCCTTTTTTGTTTATTTGAAGTCAATAATATAGAAAACACCAAAGTGTATCAGTTTCCTCTGTTTGGTTTAAAAGAAAGCTTGAAGAAAAGAAAAAAAAGACCTTTCTCAAGGTCTTTTAAAATTTTATACAAACAAACAAACACGGACAAAGTTTATTCTTGAATTAAACATAACAAAATATGTGTAATAAAATCCAAAAAAATAAATCTGTCCAGGCACCTTGGAAGCTTCGCTTATATGTTCCTGTATTTTTGATCCCATGACTGATTAAATGAGATACTGTATTTCCAAACAGCTGGATTTATACTTTATTTTAAGTGTAGAAAAGTATAAAAGTGGTATGCAGTAACAGGTGGGAGAGGGGCAGCCAGCGCTGTGTTCTATAGAGCAGTGGAAACTTAAATTTTTATATTTAAATTTCAAGTCATTCTGGCCTATAAATGTACTCTTTATCAGACCACATTGTCCTTAAAGTCAGAGAACTTCTATTTAAAAAGGGTTTTCCTTAATCCAACATGGCTGCCTTCATACATCCTACAGCATCTTATCTTAATGAGTACTTTTCGCATTAACCAAAGTTGACATTAGGAAAATGGAGGAGGAGGGAGATGATCACCATGGAGACCGGTAGATGGACAAATTTATCTTACTCCATCATGGCTGCCTCCATGTAGAGTTTTACTTCTTGACCCATTTTTATTCCGTAGTTTGAGCTTTTCTCGCTGGCCTTTCATGTTCCTCCGAAATGTTCTAGTTTGATTTGCTCTTCTGTCCCTGATGTAACCATGAATGTTTGGATGAACTACATGAAAGTTTTTCTTACTCTTTGATGCTTATCAAAGATCTGTTATCCTGTGCCAAAGTATTGGTTTGTTCCTCCCTCCCATCATTTGTAGATAAATCTTACTGTAGTTTTTTTTTAGCCGTATGCAGCCAGATGTTCAATAAGATCATCTATTTTTCTGAAGCTTAGGTTTTACCTGCTTTGCAGAATCTTCACTTGTTAAAAGAGGTGAAAGGAATAATTGAAATATTTCTTTTTCATAAACCTGCTGAGCAGCTGAACGTGGGGAAGAAAAGCTTTTTTCCTGAACTTTTTCCTCCCAGATTGATGAAGGGGTCTCAGGAGTCGGGTCATTGCCCTTCAGTCTGACTGCTGGTACAATTAAAAAGTATCGGCCTGTTTAAGCAGCACATTAAGCTCCGGTCCAAGATTTTTAAATGAAGAAAAATGGAGCTCATTGCTTCCTGTTTAAATGTGTCTAACAGACTGGGAAGAAGAGGCCAATTAAACAGTAAGGATGTGTTTTCTGTTCAGCGGCCAAATGTGGAGTCTCTGTTGGTGGGGGGAAAAAGGCAAACTTTTATTGGGTTAAAAGTTTATCCTTAAAGTGACTTCTGTTGCTTCCATTCTGATCCATAAAAAACAAAACTTTATTTTATTTTGTAATGCAAAACATCTTTTTGATCACATCTTCACCAAGGACACCTGTCAAAAAATGGAGATTAAAAGTTCATGATTGGGCTTAAAACTATTTAGCTTCTTTTTTTAAGTATTTCATGAAGAATCAGAAAACCTTTGATAAGACATGAAACAAAACCAAAGCAGGGGTTGACATTAATGATTTTTACCACTTGCCCTTTGGGCAAGTGACTTTTACATTTCATTTGCCCAGAAACAATTTTTACTTGCCCAGTATAATGTTTGATAAATATAGTTCCTAATATTCATTTTTGTATATATATCAATGAAACATCGAATGCCAATTTTCCTAATCCCTGACCGATAGTTTTTAATCTAAGGTAATCTGGGTGGAGGGTAAAATAGGTGGTGGGTGTGTTACTGTACTTAAATTTTTTTGCCTTGTTGTTGTTTTTTAGCCTGCCAAGTTGAAAAAAATGTGTGTTATTCGCGCCAATTCCCGGACATAAATCACTAGCCTCGTGAGACCATCCTGATCTCGCGAGCTTTCAAGATTTCACTC